AGACACAAGACGCTCAACTCTACCTTTTGAGATATGACCTAAGCGCTTATGCCATAATGTCGCCGAATTTTCCTTATTTAATTTACGCTTAGTACCACGTGATTCCACATGCAAGGATTCATTGTAAGAAGCAATTGTATCAAGCAAATATAGGTTGTCATAAATACTCAAGTAACCGGTTCCCACAACATTTGAATTAAAAGATAAACTGAATTGACTGTTTCCAAATGAACAAGAATAACCTGATTTGTCCAATACAGAAACAGAAACCAAATTCCGTCTAAAAGACGGTACTACAAAAGTATCTTTTAAATCCAAATAATAACCAGTTCCTAACAACAACCTAAAGTGCCCAATTGCTTCCACATCTACCGATTGTCCGTCGCCCACAAAGATGTGTCTTTCAACATCACTTGGCTTTCGGTAGCTCAGGCAACCCTGCATAGAAACACTTATGTGAGTAGTAGCACCAGAGTCTAACCACCAAGTGTTTCTAGGTACTGAAGCTAAATTAACCTCAGAACAGACCAAAGCAAGGAACGTACCCTTATTATCACGCCAGGCGTGATATTTTGTACAGTCCTTCTTTACATGTCCAGGCTTCTTACAGAAGAAACAACCCTGATTATCCTTATGTTGTTTCTTCTCAACTGGACCCTTAGCAGCTTCCTTATCATTCTTCCTTTTCTTGCCCTTATCCTTAGAGGCATAGGCCAAATGAGCACTTTCTGTCTTATCTTGCTTCAACCTGTCTTCTTCTTGCACACAGTATGAAATGAGCTCATTTAGAGTCCATTTCTCCTTTTGACAGTTATAACTGACCTTAAATTGGTTAAACTGTGCAGGAAGAGACAACAAAACCAGATGCACTAATAACTCGTCACAAAGATCGAGTTTAAGTGCCTTAAGCTTTGAAGCAATATGAGACATTTCCATAATGTACTCCCTGATATTTCCTTTGCCCTTATACTTCATTGAAATCAAGCGAGCTAAAAGCGTGCTTGTTTCTACCTTATCGTTTTTCGCAAAACGCTTCTCAATTTCGGCAAGGAAATCTTTAGCCTTAGTAATCCCTTCGGATTCTATGCCCCTGAAGGCTTCCGGAACGCCGCGCTTAATGATCATAAGACTCATGCGATTTGAACGCTCCCACTTCTCATGCTCCTTCTTTGCATCAGGAGTGCTATCCGCATTGAGAGGTTGGGGTTGTTCAGTTCTTAATGCATAGTCAAGATCCATGCAGCCAAGAACAATTAATATGTTCTCTTTCCAAACCTTGAAGTTTGTCCCATTTAGCATGGGAATTGAGTTGATGTTAGCAGAAATTGTTGCAGCAGATGCATTAGCTGAAATAAAACAAAAATGCTCACATCAATAACCATAATCAATAAAATTCAAATAATGACAATCCCCATCCAAGATATCGGGCACAACATTAATATCAAGTATTTGGACAGTAATATTAACTTGTAAGTGATACCTTGTTGCAACGATCAAACATTGACAACAACTCATGTCAAACAATAAAACTATCTTTGGATCGATTCATTATTCACATGTAAACCTTATAATTGTCACACGCTTATCATCGCAGATGTGTTTACAGTCTAAATAAATATTAACATTCCTTTGGGCCGATTAAATATTTACACGAAAGCATACACATAAACATCTCACATTCCTCATGAACAATCTACACAAGAGAGGATACTTTTGGCAACTTCTTGTTTCAATTAATCAATTGGAGTGAGAGACAACCTTAATTCCTTAGTGTCATATAATTTGAATTAAATAATTGATTAAAAAACCAAATTAGATTTAAATTAAAAAGTTTTAATTTAAATCAACTGAATTTCCAAAAACTTAATCGGGGTCTCACAGCTTAATTAGGACCCATAACTTAATTGAATAAATTAAGTATACCAAAGTGGACCCATGAAAAGTTGAGGCTTAACCATACTGAACACGAAGTTCGCTTAACTTCGAACGCGAGGTTCGACTGTATTGAGTACGAGACTCACTTAAGCACGAACGCGAGGTTCGTTTGAGAACGAACGTGAGGTTCGTTAAAAAAATGAACGCGGGGTTCAACTTGAGAACGAACGCGAGGTTCGTTAAAAAAATGAACGCGAGGTTCGACTGAAGTATGAACGCGAGGTTCGACTGAAGCTCGAACGCGAGGTTCGACTGAAGCTCGAATGCGAGGTTCGACTGAAGCAACGCGAGGTTCGACTGAAGCTCGAACGCGAGGTTCGACTGAAGCTCGAATGCGAGGTTCGACTGAAGCTCGAACGTGAGGTTTGTCTGAAGCACAAACGCTTCGCCAAAATTTGAGGTAACCACCTCCTTAATGTTCGCCACGTTTTCACGCATGAACCCTTAGAGTTTCAAACCGAAACCGCCGCCGACAAACCCAAAAAAAATTCCTCGATTTTATTTTTCAAAATCAGATCCAGACCAAGAAAAAACCGAAGAAAAATCCAAAAAGTTACTGTCCACCGGCGATTTTTCAGTTACTGTTCATCCGAAAAACTTTTCGTTGCTGTTCATCCGAACAAAAAAATTATTGTTCATCCGAAAAATTTTCGTTACTGTTCATCCGAACAAAAAATTGAATCTTTAACCAGAGATTTAAGATCTTAAAAACCCAATAAAACTTAAATCCCTAAGAATTAATCAAGGTGGCTCTGATACCACTTGTTAGATCTAAACCAAAACTTGAGATCTAAAACCATATAGCCATGATTAATTCAAAGAGATTAACAATAATCAAAAGAGCGGAAGCTTATACCTGAATCCATGGATGAACCTTGAGATGGGTTTTGGATCTTCTAACCTTAGGGTTTCTCTAAATCCGAATTTCTCTAGCTTGATGGGGGTGTAGAGAATTAGAGAATGTAACCCTAGGTTAGGGACCATAACCCCTTATTTATAGATGTTGTATTTTTGTAATTTAGCCCCTCAATAAATCACAATTACAACCTGGTATCTGCACATATAACCCCATGATTATATTTAAATACCCATTAACCCAACTTAATTGATCACTTTAGTGAGTTATCCTGAAAGATAGCAATACACATTAATTAATCATATGTGCCCACAAATAGATTTATTAGATTAAATCCAACACCAACTCATCTCATTTCATCTCCTTTCTTACCTTTAAAAATAAACCAAACATAAGAAATGTGTCAGATCATCAAACTCATCACATCTCATCTTATCTCATTTTTAAAAATCACACACATCATCCAATAATATTGTGACAACTCATCTCATCTCATTAAACCTTCCTTTCCATCCATTTCCTCAAAAAAAAACAAGAAATTGATTTCCTTAAGTATGTGTCACATCATCCAATAATATACCTCCAACTCATTTCATCTCATCTATTTTCTTATTTTTAAAAACGAACCAAACACAAACAACCTCAAAAACATCATCCAATAATATATCTCCAATTCATTTCCTTATTTTTTTAACCAACCAAACAACCTCAAAACAATTTTTTTTAAAATCACTCACATCATCCAATAATAAGGTTACAATTTATCTCATCTCATCTCCTATTTTATAATTTCCTTCTTTTTTAAACCAACCAAACAACCTCAAAACAATTATTTTAGGAAATATGTTTCCTATTCTTTGATTTTCCATTATTTTTTGCGAAACGAACAGACCCTTAGGGGCTATTTGGTTGGTTTCCTAAAAACCAAGAATAGGAAATTGGGTCATGGAAATCTTAAAAACATCAATTTCCTCTATTTTCATCCCTAAAACTCATCACAACATCCAATAAAATATTATTTTTATCTAACAACTCATCCACTTTATCCAATAAAATATTATTTAAATATTATTTTTATCTAACAACTCATCCACTTTATCCAATAAAATATTATTTTCATCCAACAACTCATCTCATATCATCTCCTTTATCCAATAAAATATTATTTTCATCCAACAACTCATCTCATATCATCTCCTAAAAATAAACCAAACATAAGAAATGTGTCACATCATCCAACTCATCTCATCTCATATTTAAAAATCACCTACATCATCCAATAATATGGTAACAATTTATCTCATCTCATTAATATTTTATTTCCACTCATTTCTTCAAAAAAAACAAGGAAAATGATTTTCTTAAATGTGGGTCACATCATCCAATAATATACAAATAACTCATCTCATCTCATCTATTTTCTTATTTTTAAGAATGAACTAAACACAAGAAAGAAACTATTATAGGAAATAGGTTTCTTACAATACATTTCCTTAACCAACCAAACAATCTCAAAACAAGTTTTCTTAAAAAAGCACTCACATCATCCAATAATATGGTGACAACTCAACTCATCTCATCTCATATTCTTTGATTTTCTTCTTTTTTTAACCAACCAAACAACCATAATACAAGATTTAATATTCTTTGATTTCCCATTTTTTTAGGCAAACAAACAGCCCCTTAGGAAAGAGAGTTCTCTCCAAACTAAAGAATAAGAAAGAATTGCTTTTCAATGTTCATTTCTAGGTGATTTTTTGATGAAACAAATAAAGGATCCACAAATTTATAACTTTCCTATGAACAAATGAGAAATGCAGTTTCCATGTAGAAATAGGGTTTCCTACTATTTATAAAAAGGAACCAGCGCAAAAAATGACAATTATTTGGATACAGGAAGGCTACATTTGCAGTTGGGTAAATTGCATACAACCCCTCATCTATATCTCCGGTTGTAGTTAACCCCCCTTAACTACCTCATAGTACCGTCGGATGGTAATTTTGGAAACTAATTTGCATGTAACGCCCCTATCCCCTTGAATCGAGGAATTGATTTGAGGGAATCGAGTACAACTGACGTACGCGAGGGGGCTATGTGTAATCTATATCGTTCGCAACTTCACCCAGAAAGAATATGGAGGAGGGCCTTCCCACTATTTAAAGAATACGAAGGGCCTTGCCATGATTTTCCCTTATCCATTAAGAACCAAGTCTCAGAACTCCCCTGCCTCTTCATCTCCTCCCTCTTCTTCTCGAATTTTCACTCATTCCGCCATTAACATCATTCAAATTAGCACCAGAGCAATAAACCCATCCTAAAAAAAAAAACCACTCACCCCATCCACTTGCTTCTTTTGCCGGAACTCCAAAAAACTTCTCTTTGTGCACCCCACCTGCTCGAGCTATTGCTCCAATGGCCCTCGTCTCCTCCCTAGGACCCCATTCTCTCTTCCCCTCTCAAAAGACTACCACCCAATTCCAATCTCCACCTCAAAAAGCTTCATCTTTCGTACCCTTTTCATCCACAGCCTCCAACCCCAGCCTCACCCACAAAATCCCACGAAATTTCACCCCAAAAGACCTCCTCCTCGCTCTCCGCCGCCAAAAAGACCCAAACTCCGCTCTCGAGCTCTTCGATTGGGCTTCGAAGCAACCCAGCTTCGAGCCCGATTCGTTGGTCGTCGAAGAAATCCTGCGTCAGCTCGGAAAGGCTGGAGCTTTCGACCGAATGAAGGGTCTCCTTCAAGAAGTGAAGCTCTCTCGGTCTAAGATTGACGATGGTATTTTCCAAGTTCTCATTGAAACCTTTTCAAAGTTTCAGTTATACGACGAAGCTGTAGATGTTGTTATGTCTTTGATGCAAGAGTTCGGGGTTGGACCTGAGACCCACATATACAACTTTTTGCTGAACGTTCTGGTTGAGGAAAGCAAGATAAAACTAGTTGAATCAGTGTACGCCTCAATGACTGAGAGAGGAATTGAACCTGATGTTTCTACTTTCAACATACTGATCAAGGCTCTGTGCAAAGCCCATCAGCTAAAACCCGCAGTTTCGATGTTGGAAGAAATGGAACTCAGTGGTATTACGCCCGATGAGATCACATTCACTACCATAATGCAAGGGTATATTGAAGAAGGGAACATCGAGTCTGCACTTAAAATGAAAAAGAGAATGCTTGAGGCTGGATGTTTACCATCGAATGTAACCGTTAATGTTTTAGTCCATGGTTTCTGCAGACAAGGAAGAGTTGAAGAAGCTCTTGGTTTGATTCAAGAAGAAGCTGAGAAAGGATTCAGTCCTGATAAGTTTACTTTCAATACCCTTGTCAATGGATTATGTCGATCTGGGTATATTGATCATGCTCTGGAGATCTTAGATGTGATGATTCGCGAAGGATATGATCTCGATGTTATTACTTATAACACCTTGATATCGGGATTGTGTAAACGTGGTAAAATTGAGGAAGCCATGGAGATTTTGAACCAAATGGCGGAGAGAAATTGTTTGCCGAATATGGTGACTTACAATACACTTATAAGTACAATGTGTTCTGAAAATAGGTTTGAGGAGGCAATGGAGCTTGCTCGTGGCCTCACTCTCAAAGGCCTTCTTCCTGATGTATATACATTCAATTCCCTAATTAGTGGTTTGTGCAAGGCCGGAGATCATGAGATTGCACTTGAGTTGTTTGATGAGATGAAAAAAAATGGTTGCCCACCCGATGAGTTCACGTACAACATATTGATCGATCACCTCTGCTTTGGTGGGAAGCTAGAAAAGGCGCTAGGGTTACTGAAGGAAATGGAGGCAAATGGATGTGCACGAAGTGTAGTAACTTACAACACCCTCATAGATGGGCTATGTAAGAACATGAGAATCGAGGAAGCTGAGGAAATCTTCGATCAAATGGAAGTTCAAGGTGTTTCGAGGAATTTGGTGACTTATAACACGCTTATCGATGGTTTATGCAAGAGAAAGAGAGTTGATGAGGCTAAAGAGCTCATGGACCAGATGATTGCAGAAGGATTGAAACCCGATAAGCTCACGTACAATTCTTTGCTCACTTACTATTGCAAAGAAGGGAATATTAAGAAAGCAGCAGATATAGTTCAAACAATGACTACAAATGGTTGCCAGCCTGATATGATCACTTACGGAACCCTAATCAGTGGACTATGCAAAGGAGGAAGGACTCAAGTTGCTTGTAAACTATTAAGGAGCATCCAAATGAAAGGAATGATTCCAGGGCCAAAAGCATATAACCCTGTGATTCAAGCTCTATTTAAGCAAAGGAAAACAAGAGAAGCGATAAGGCTCTTCAGAGAGATGGAGGAGAAAGGCGAAGCTCCTGACGCGATCACATACAAGATAGTTTTTCGTGGGATTTGCCGAGGAGGTGGGCCCATCGGAGAGGCTGTTGAGTTTATGGAGGAGATGATAGAGAGGGGGTTTTTGCCAGAGTTTTCCTCGTTCTCGATGCTGGCTGAGGGTTTGTGGGCTTTGGCGATGGAGGACGTTATCGCCAAGGTGTTTGATTTGGTGATGGAGAAGGGGAAGTTTAGGGAGAGCGAGATTGCGATGGTGAGGGGGTTCCTTAAGATTCGGAAATTCGAAGATGCTTTGGCTACTGTTGGCCGTGGTTTGAACAGTAGGTGGCCGGAAAAAGGGGTACCGATGAGGAATGATGTAAGAGGCCGAGCAATCCTTTAGTCACCGCGGTAAGATTTGGAAGACGAATTGAGCGCGAACGCAGATTATCGAAGGACGTCGGCGAAGACCGCGATGATGACCTTCAGTTGGGTTTTTGAACGGAACGAGGAGGGAGTCGAGTTGGTCGTTGTGTGAGGTTAAACGAGCTTGTTATTCTTCTATCCGAACAAGAATGAAAACGCTCGCGATGTGATTTTATTATGACGTATCTTTGGCTAGTGCTGAGCATGAGCTATGCGAACTAACCTTCGCAATGTTAACAGCGTCATTTTGTAATTTGTTTTCGTTTTGAGGTGGGCGTATCTTGCGTCTTCTGTTTCCGTAGCATACATGCATTCTTCGTCCCGTAACAAAACTAATTTTTTTTTGCCCCCTCCTTGTGAGTTTTAACTCCCGTGGCAATCGCCTGATGATCAAAGCTTGAAGTTTGCCGAAAATAGGCTAGACGTCATTAAACCCCCTTTAGATTGGGTGATTATTAGAAAATACCCCCTTTTAACTTTCAAAATATCAGAAACCCTCCTAAAGCTTAGGCCTTAGGGGTTATCAAAAACCCTCTTTAACTTTGAGATTTTATCAGAAAACCGCCCTAATTTAAGGGTTTTCTGATGAAATCTCAAAGTTATAGAGGGTTTTCCAATAAAAATTAAAAGTTTTGTGTTTTTTGGGTGGGGGTGTTATAATAAAACAGAAAGCAAATGATAAGTAAATATACCCTGCTAGTACAATCTGCAATAAAAGCTATAAATTGAAGTAGATTAGCCCATAACTCATTCCTTGCTCAAACTTTATGAAATACAACCAATATCCAACTGATACCCGAATCCATTTTATCAAATAAAAACACTGAATTTTGAACTTTGCGTTCTACTTCTAACAACATCCAACATGCAACTTCTCATACCTTCCAAAAACAAAAACGAAAATGAAAACAGATACAAAATACCCATCTTTATCGCTAAAAAGCAAACAAAGGCAGATTCAAGTTATACATAGAATTAAACACTAGGCCTTCAGAAAGATAAGTTCTCGCAATCCCGAGCTTGCATTCAGCGATCAAGGACGAGCAAAATTCAATTTCTACATTTCTCAGCATCACCAAGTATCATAAAAAAGACAAGTCACTTCGCCATAAACATGAATAATCTATAATACTTGAAACTTAAAAGTACACAATCACTTCACATGGCACTCGGGCACACACAGTTATTTCTCTTCCAATAAATAATCTTCACAACTTCATATATATATACATGCGCACGCGCGCGCGCACACTCAAGATAAAATCTTAAGCCCACCAAAATCACATAATACCAACAAGCTTGTGAATTTTTCAACCAGCAAAAAGAAGCTCGCACAATTCTCAATCTTGAGGATAACCCAATCACATACTCCTTGACGCGTTCAAAATCTCAAATAAAAAGAATGAGTAGGCTCATTTAACAACAGAAGAGTCAACTTAATTCAATTACATAAATAAGGAAATGTTACAAAACTACCATCAACTATTACGGGATGCATGCCAACTACCATTAGATGTATTTAATATAGAAAAATATCATAATCTTTAAAATCATCAGAGAAGTACTGCACAGTATTGAAATTTTAGTCATCTTTAAAATCATCAGAGACATACTGCACAGTATTGAAATTTTAGCGATACGAGTACCTGGCACAGAGTTAATAATCGTAAACATTATCACAAAAAACGTTTGTATTTAGAAACTAAAATCCAACGTTTCTTAATGAATCCGTAAGAAGACTGTAATTACATAAAACTTCAATTAAATTGACTTAGTAAGGTAAGCTTCTCTTCAAAAAAGACTTTGTAAGGCAAGCATTTAAGAGGACAAATAGACAATAGCTTATAATAATCAAATAGTTTAATATTTAGCACTAAACCATTTATCATAAAGATATGATCACAAATTATTCATAGTTAGAATACACATGTTATAGCTTGTGCATAGATAAGGATGCACGCATACGCACGTGTAGTTGTGAGTGTATATATATCTATGTTTGTGTATGTATGTGTATAGATATGTGTCTCTATGTGTGCGCACATGCACACATACACCAATTTCTTTATTAATATATTGAGAAGATTATTACTAATTTCTCCATTTAAAATTGTAATGGTATGTCAACAAGGCATCTATATCCCCGAGGCTTATTGATATGATAATATTCCCTCTCTCCAGCCTAAAGAAACTCCAAATATGCCATCGACGTGTTAACAACCATGCTATTCTCTGATTTTGACAGGAAAGGAAGAAATACATTCCAAAAAAACTGAAGAATAATGTAAACAGATAGATACAAAAAACATGGAAATAAACAAAAATAAGAAGTCAATGACAGTACTAGAATATGTCAAACAAAATGCTCACCAATAGTGCAAAAAAATGATATATTACTCACCTACAATCCTGTGTGAAGAAGCAGAAACCACCGACAAAAAGGGGATCAAAAAGAAGCAAAGATAAAAGGTGATCTTCAGAGTTTATACCCAAAAAAAAGGACCAGACCAACTATATGACCAGCACTAACAGTATTCGTGCACCTTCATAATAGAAGACAAAGATAACTAATGTGTGGCTAATGTGAGGTGGAAGATCAGATACCGGCTGAATTCCAATAATTATTGTTTTACTAAATAAAAATAGTATATCTATCATACAAGTGCCCGGACAAACCCAAAGAACAAACTTGCAGACTTTGCAACTCGAGAACAAAAAATGTAAATCATTATCATTAGTTTCTTCTTGTCTGAAAATTAGTGGATTCTTCACTTACAAATTGCCTCGTAATTTCTATTATTGAAATACCTATACATAGATACAGTCTGCATCTATCGTTTGAGGATAAAAGAAATCTAGTCAACATCCTCATTGTACCATTGGATACCTCAAGTGAGACCAGAAACCTCAAGTGAAAAAATTATAAATCTAAAGGTTGCTACTCCCAGGCCTTTCTTAATGGATGAAGGATAAAATTTCTCTCAGATACCTTCCCCAAAGAAGGCCTCGACCCTAAGATTATCCCGTCCCACAAATGTCCACTTCAAGATCCACCTATAACTTCCCTCAGAATCTCTCATGCATTTCTGGTATCAACCCTCATAAAATAACAATTCATTGTCTCCTTAAGTTCCTCCTAAATCTCTAGCATGAAAACGTGTCAATTCAAATGAGAGAAAAGGACAGACTCTAATAACAAGATAAAGATTTCAAATAGAGCAAAGAAGATACATTACGCCTGAAGCACTACAATTACCGTAAGAAAATGTAGCGAAATGCAACTATAAGGAAAAGAGAGAAATAAAGAAGAAAAAAAACATATTTCTCTCCATAACAATTGTGAGCTGTAGAATAGTGATAAATAGCACAGTGACTATTTTGCAGCAAAAAACACTTCAAGGATCACAGCTCTATCAATTACAATTCAAAATATACACCAGAAAGGTAAATCAGCCATTCCAATGTGAAACAAATAATGAAATGCCTAACATGCTAAGCCCATAAATTGTTACAAATCAATGTGTAGTCATAACGCTTTTCAAAAACATAACAAATCAAAACATAAATCAAATAATGGCAAAAACCAGAACCAGCATGTTTTGAGGACAAATAGAGTTATACTGTAATAAAATAAACAACAAGCAGATAGGGTATTTAGTAGATTATGCATCCCAAGAGACTATAAACAATTCACTAAAGCAACCAGAGTGCAGAGACAACATATCCAATGAAATTACATACTTAATTGGCACGGCCCCTAATGACATCAAGGCCCATCTCAGTTGGATCAGTCGCCTGCAATTCCACCTGGATGCCATCCAACTCTCTCTTAAACCTGTCCTTCGAGCTGGCGTAAAGCATCTTGCTTCTCACTCTTGCGATATCAGGTGACCTTCAAAAGAGTAGCATATTGTTCAATTTGCAACTGAACAATTAAATACGGCATACATACATGTATGCATCGTGCAATAAAAAAGTTACCATGCAATGAAAAATATCTTGCTTTTCTGGCAGTTCTCTTCAGTCACAAAATCAAAGTCGTAGATAGCATATCTGCACTCATCAGCGGGAAGGGCAGCGCTGAAATCCTCATAGCTTGAAATGGGTTCACCGACCTTCTCGACAATCACTTGCTTCAACTTCTCGTCGATCTTGAAAACTATGAAGCGGTATGTCCTCTTAGCCTTCAGTTCCAAGAACGTCAGCTTGCACTCATCATTCACAGCCATCCCCGACGCTGCGTTGGCCTTTAAAAATAAAAGGACAAGCAGCTAAATGAGATAATTATCACAACCGCGATTAGAATATGCGCACAACTGAATACAACTGGGCCTAGATCCATGACTACAACAATCTAAAGCTAAGCCAAAATGGAAAATGAAGCGATCAAAACAACTGCTTACGTCCTGTTCTACAGCGTGATCTACACCTGAAGCCACAAATTAAGAAGCACACTACACGGGTTTAGAATTAATAAATAAAAACCGAGAATTTAACAAGAACTTGCACAACAGCATAGAAATGAAAATTTATCGGAATTAAAAACCTTAACTTGGCAAATGAAAAACAAAAACCATCTAATCCAACAAATTCCAGTAATTGAAAAACTAATCCATCACGACCGTTCAAAATTTGTCTGAATTGATGCCATCTCAGCAGCGGTTAAATCAAACTCTTCGAGTAATTACGCGATCTCAGCATTCAACCGATCAGCTACTAAAAATAGATCAGGATCGTAAAAATTTTAGCTCAATCAACTGATCTCAGAGACAAGAAGATGATAGATCTGGCGTCAGAATCTTAGGATCCAGACAAAAAAAAATCACCAAAATAACAAAAACATCGTCGAGAACCCTAATTTCAGCGAGAAAATGTCTAGAGGTCAAAAGTCGAGACAATTCCTCACCATTTTGGGAGCGGCGATCGGAGTGGGAATCGGCGAGCGAGAGAGAAATTAGATAATTTTTGGGAGAGAAAATCTAGGGCTCCGATATCGGAGTTTCTATTAACGGAGATAAAATGAGAGAGGGGAGTATATATACGGCGGGAGGTGATCGGTCGTTAAGATATTACGGCGGTCACCGCACACGTGCCTCTCGCTTAAAAAGTACTACCGTAATAATTTATGAAAAATTCCCCAAGGACCCAAAATATAGTACCAATAGAAGGAACGAGTGAGGTGTCCTTCTCCTATTGGATAATGAGTTGGCCATCATTAATGATAGCCAACTCATTATTCAATATAAGGGGGGACACCTCACTTGTCCCTCATATTGGTCTCATATTTTGGGTCCCTGTAGCAGAGCTCATAATTTATCTATTCCATGTAAATTTGTTGTTAAGGGGCTGTTTGTTTCGGGAAAAAAAAATAGGAAATCAAAGAATAGGAAATCTATTTCCTATAATAATTGTTTTGAGGTGGTTTGGTTGGCTTAAAAAAGAAGAAAACTGTAGAATAGAAGATGAGATGAGTTGTCATCCTTATTATTGGATGATGTGAGTGATTTTTAAAAAAAAAATTGTTTTGAGGTTGTTTGGTTGGTTAAAAAAATAAGGAAATAAATTGGATGTATATTATTGGATGATATTTTGAGGTTATTTGTGTTTGGTTCATTTTTTAAAATAGGAAATTAGATGAGATGAGATGAGTTGGAGGTATATTATTGGATGATGTGACACATACTTAAGGAAAACAATTTCTTATTTTTTTTTAGGGAATAGATGGAAAGGAATGTTTAGAGCGCGTTTGGACATAAACTTTTTTTGTGTTTTTGGGGTGAAAGCCTAACAAAGTGTCAGGTTTTCACCCTAAAACGCCTCTTTTAAAGGCGTTTTAGGGTGAAAGCCTGACACTTTGTGAGGCTTTCACCCAAAAAACACCCAAAAATAAGTGTTCCAAACGCGCCCTTAATGAGATGAGTTGAGTTGTCATAATATTATTGGATGATGTGTGTGATTTTTAAAAATAAGATAAGATGAGATGTGATGAGTTGGATGATGTGACACATTTATTGTGTTTGGTTTATTTTTAAATGTAAAAAATGAGATGAAATGAGATGAGTTAAAGGATAAAAATATTATTTTATTGGATGTTGTGGGTGAGTTTTAGGGATGGAAATTGATAAAAATATTATTTTATTGGTTTCCTTTTACCGATTTCCTTTTCTTGGTTTTTAGGAAACCAACCAAACGACCCCTAAATTCCTCAACCTTTTGTATTTCGTATATTTCAAGGCATAAAGATTTTTTTTAACCCAGCACCAAAGATTGAACTCATAACCGTGGGAGCTAGGTTAGAATTAACTATTGGTAAGTTTCATCTTTCACAAAAATAGTTCTAAGATTATTGCATTCCATTTATCACAAAATCATTGTTCATTTGGTCTTTTACGAAACTAGTTCGGTATTTTTTTGATTTCCCACGAGCTATCGCCACATGTTATTATAGATGGGACTAAACCCCGCTCGTGTTTTGTATCTAGCGCTGGCCCGAGGGTTTTTTTTTCCACCTGTTGGGGGATTTGAAAACGGGACTAGCCCGCTATGGCGCTATGGATCGTCCCCCAATAAGAGCGCAATAGAGCTTTACACCCCTGCTCTTATGAAACTAGTTCGATAGGATTACTACATTTGTTCTCTCAAAAAATCATTCTAGTATTTAGCATTTATGCAATTATCTTTTGACCGTGGAACCGAGATACAAACATTTACTTGTAATTGGGGCTTACTCTGTAAACGCACATCTCCTTGCTATTGGGTTGGACCCGCTGGCATCTGAGATGGAATTAGGTTATTTATGTTTTTTTTGTATATTTCAAGAAAATTATAGAAAATCCCTATAATTTACAGAGATGACATGAAATCTTTAAAGATTTTAAAATATTTTGATAGCATTTCCTTATAATTTTTCCTTCTAACAAGGCCACGGGATACCTTTTAACCATCTGACCAACATTTTTCAGTTGTTTATGGTGAAATCCCCCTTTTTCAGAGTATTCGTACATTCTTGTTGATATCACTTTTTATTTCTGATAAATCTTCCAAGATTTTATATAATATGCCTATTTTTCATATGTATCTATCTTTCGTATGTTTCTGTTGATGATGGGTAACCAAACAATCAATATATAGGGATGGGATAGATTAGGGGTCGCTCACTTCTTCGAATATCTGGTATTGAGTTTAGTAGCTTTCTGCCACACCCCGAAAACTATAGTAAAAATTCATAAATACGGGTTACGAGACAGCAGCGACCCACGTATAAGACAAGTCCTGTGCATGAGTAAAGTCAGATACTTTATACCACGTAGCTTAACTCAAAACATATACATCAGCCTGCTGAAGATAGTAGCTCAAAACAAACTATACATATATACTTATAATCGTTATTTACATTCCACAACCTTATTGTTATAAAATGTTTACAACACAAAAACACTCTTTTTGGTGAACAAAACTGTTGGTCGCAGAGTCACGCCCTCACGCCGCGGAAGCAATTACGCCGCGGAAGCGATATAACCGGAGAGAAAGCTCTTGCTTTTGTTGTCACAAAAGCTCAAGTCAACCTCTATATTCCCGTTTCACAAAGGAAACAATGATAGAAAGTGAAATATCTCAACAAAATAAAATATACACACTTCCTCTCATCAGTTCAAGGACTGACTTGTCGAGGAAACCTACAAGCAATAGCCAATACCTAGAAAACAGTAAAGACACGAGATTTATGTGGTTCGGCAAACTTGCCTACGTCCATGGGGAAGGGGAGTGGAGATTCCACTATAAGGAGAACACTGGTGACTTGAACAATCCACAAGCTCGTCTTAAAAGAAGAAGATTTTATTTTTACCCAAAAAATTAACCTCTCTCTTATAAAATCGCTCCAAAGATCTCTCCTCAAGAACTCTCTTTTCCAGCAGCCAAAAACCCTTGTTTTCTTCTCTGCAGCCTACTAACCCTATATCTTAACTCATTGTCGAAAACCCTAGAAGAAGGGGTATTTACAGAAGAGGAATCAGATCTTTGTCTACTCGGGTGTGGCCCAAATACACGTTGCACATGTATTGCTATACATGTATCTCGGGTGGGTCCTGGGCCCGCTGCACATGTCTGTCCTTCACAATTCTCCACCCCGTACATCATTTTATAAACCTCAAATTTTGGACGAACACCAAAAAAACACCGCGAACATCACTAGAGAGATCCAAAATTACCAAACCAGGCCAAAACCAGCTGCGCCACTTTACCGCGACTGCCTACGTACCCTCCACCGGGATCAAGCTAACCATAGTTTACGATTTGTTCTCCATATAATTATTATCTCCACCTTACCCCATCACCACTCCAAAGGGTCATGCCCTCTTGAGTAGATCAACACAGGCTGGTATGAAGCAAGAGCAAGCAATGCTTAAATTTGCTACCCGTGACCACCTTGGTTAACATGTCTGCGGGATTCTCATTCGTATGCACCTTCATGAGAGAAATATCACATTCCTCTATGATATCCCACACGAAATGATATCTGACATCGATATGCTTGTTACGAGCATGATGAACTTGATTCTTCGCCAAGTGAATCACACTCTGACTGCCGCACCACAAGTTCACGTTCTCCTGCTCAATCTCCAAATTGTCTAGAAGACCCCAAAACCACAATGCTTCCTTCACTCTCTCCGCTGTGGCTATGTACTCAGCCTATGTAGTAGAAAGTATCATTATAGCCTGTAACATCGATCGCCAACTAACTGGAACACCATGTATTCTGAACACATAACCAGTAGTAGATCGTCGTCTGTCTAGATCGTCCGCATAATCTGAGTCAACAAAGCCATCAATCTGACATGTATCTACACTAAAGCACAACCTCGTATCAACAATACCCTTTAAGTACCTCAGGACCCACTTCACTACTTCCCAATGTGCCTTTTCCGGATTCACCATGAATTTGCTAACACACACTGACCGCCTGTGAAATATCTAGGCGTGTACACATCATGGCGTATATCAAACTGCTAACTGCACTAGCATAAGGAACACACTCCATGTGTGCCTTATCTTCTGATGTAGTGGGGGATTGTTTACATGAAAGCCTAAAACGTGGAGCCAATGGAGTCACCATCGACTTTACATTTTGCATCATGAGCCTCACGATCACCCGCTCTGTGTATCCCTTCTGACTCAAGAACAATTGTCTATTCGCCCGCTCTCTTCTAATCTTCATACCCAGTATTTTCCTAGCAACGCCCATGTCCTTCATATCGAACTCTTTACCAAGTTAAGATTTTAGTCTATCTATCTCCACCATGCTCTTCGAAGCGATAAGCATGTCATCCACTTACAAAAGGAGATAGATATAATCATCTCCACGAAGCTTCTGAATATAAACACAACAATCATAATCGCTTCGGGAAAACTCACGCTTCAGCATGAAGAAGTCAAATCGCTTGTACCACTGTCGAGGAGATTGTTTCAGCCTATAGAGTGACTTCCTCAAACGACATACATGATGCTCCTTATCCTCAACCTTGTAGCCCTTAGTTTGATGCGTATAGATCTTTCCATCTAAGTCTCAATGCAAGAAGATTGTTTTTACATCGAGTTGTTCCAGCTCAAGATCACCATGAACAACAATACTCAATAGCACCCGAATAGAAGTGTGTTTGACCACCGGAGAAAAAATCTCATTGTAATCCACACCCTCTCCGTGCAAACCCTTTTATCCACTAACCTCGCCTTGTACCTTGTACCACCGATTAGAAGGTTTCAATATGACTCTCACGGTCTTCTTTCTTGATGCTTGGTTGAGTTATTTAAAAAATAAGCAAAACATACTAAAGAAAAATCAATTCACAGCCAAAATTTCCATAACGCTCATTAAAAAACTTCTCTTTATTCAAACAAACACTAACAATAAAATTACAATATTGCCATTAAACAAACTGTAATTATATTTCTAAAGCATCTGACTTCTTGGCAGCAGTGTCGCCAGCCTTTGTTGCCCGGCCGGCCGCCATTGGAAACGCGAAAGCGAGGGGTTCGTTACCGAGTGCGGGTGCGGGGTGACACCGGTGGGAGGGCGTTATAAGCCCGGACGAGTGAAGTAAGGGGTGTCTGGCCACTGAGATGGCGGGAGCGGGAACGTGAAGAAGGAAAAAGAATGGTAGTGTGTTTGAGGACTAATTTGCCCTTTGTTTTGTTATTTTTATTTGATTTTAATTTATTTTTTTAGGTTTTTAGATACTTCTATTTAATTTTAGGGTAAATTTCCATAAGGTTTAGGATATGTTGAGAAAGCAACTAAGAAGTAAGCTTTCGCAATTTTTTTGGATTTTGCTTTCAGAAAACCCGCGACCTTTTGGGATTTATCTGAGAAAGTTTTAATGACTAAGTGACATTTTAAAACTTGTTTCTGAGAAAAAAGTAGATGTTGCTTTTACGTTAAGTCAATTAGGGCCAATTAAACAGCTTAATCCATCTCAATTAATCGGCCATTCTAACCCGATAATTTGATTTCAAGATAGACGGGACGAGTCTTCGTTAGACGCTCTGGTTGCTCTTAGGACTTTGTTGAATCAAATAAGATTCTAAACGGAGGGTACACGAAGTAACATATGTATTTGTGCACGCAATACCCCAATCAAATTGGCGGTCCAAGACCAACAAGGGTTCCAACTTAGCCGGCTCGTCGAGTCGACATTCCTTTATGTTAACTCGAAAGGCGGTACTAATCGACCCTCTTGTCGAATACAACTCGCAACGAGCCCACTCAACCTGCTATTCGACGCCTCACGATGACGACTTGAAAGACGTTACTTCTCGGTAAAGCTAGAGGACGACTTCAGCCTTGAGCCTTCCCCGCTGACACAACGTCGACGTTGCATTTAATGCTTGGAAGGCGCCATCATACCTCTAGTTCCGATAACATTCATGACTCATCGGACCACGTCGGCATCGTCATGCCTCAGATCGTTTCACATTTAAACCTGAGGTGATCTCTCATCCAATCACCAGCCGACGCCTGTAAAGCAGGAGCTGACTTAGTCGCCAGCCCATGTTTCTTCATTGTCGTCATGTGCTGGGCCACAATGACGATTCTACACATTATACCACCATTACAAATAAGAGATACTATTCTAACAAAAGAGGGCTTCTGACTTTTGCTTCTTCAAGCTCCTAAAAAATTATACTTCATTAGCAATATCTACAAACAATTACCCACACAAGAACTCTCACAGTTCTTCACTTTCCCCACTCAACTTCACCAACTGACTTAACCGTCGGAGTCTCCGTCCTCTCACGAGTTTCTATATGTGCAGACTTCAGCCACTCAATTTCGAATCGGATATTCGAGGAAGGAAACAGCCTCTCATCAACTTCACCCCCATTCAACCACATATATAATAAATTAACATCAACATGCATCAATATGTTAATTAATTATAATAATAAATTTATTATTTTAAATTATTTAACTTCACCCCCATTCAACTTCACTTAACATCAACATGTACCACGATGTTAATTACTTATAATAATAAATTTATTATTTTAATTACTTATAATTAATTGATAGTACAACACATAACACAATCTCATGATCTCCTCACTCCATATACTTCTTCTATAGAGAGTCCCCATATATGTCGAGCATAGATGATTTAATATCACCTTCAATTTGAATTAGCAAAAATAATGTCTCCTTGCATAATATGGATTCCAAACATCCATAATCCCTAAAGTGAATGAGTCCAACTACTTATCCCTCTCCACATATTGTGAAAAATGATCCACCAGAGCTTTTTTTGTTATTGTTTCAAGAAATATTCCCAAAATAGTGAATCCCGCTCTAGTAGCTTTGGATAAATTAAATACATGCATTAAGATCCGAAGCCTTCTTGTTCCGCAACAAACAAAGCACTTTTTTCGTTCTTTCGTATGTATAACAGGGGGTTTCACTAGTTATTTTAAACGAAACTCTCGCACCTCATTCGTCCAAACCAGAATGCACGGATCACAACCCCCAACAAATCTCAACCATCCATTTAAACCCCAATCCAACGGCTGAGCCTCTCGATCCGCGCCACTCCCATTCCCCCAACCCCTCCATCCCCAAACTATAAAAAACCCAAATCACCCCCGTTCACCTCCACTCGACTCGTTCGCTCTCAACCCGGACTCACCAAAACCCCAAAAAAAAAGCCCTAGCAAAACCCTAATCGATCTCGATGGAAACCGGCGGCAAAGCAAAGAAGGGAGCAGGTGGCAGGAAGGGCGGCGGCCCGAGGAAGAAGGCCGTTTCTCGCTCCGTCAAGGCCGGGCTCCAGCGCGCAGTCGGACGTATCGGCGATACTGAAAAGGGCCGTACGCCAGCGGTGTCGCCACGGGAGCTCCGGTGTACCTCGCCGCCGTCCTCGAGTACCTCGCTGCCGAGGTTTGTTTATAGCCTAGATCCCTCTCCTTTTTTTCTCTTTTGTCGACGTGGGACTAAGAAAAAGATTTGTTTTTTTTTGGGTTTGGTTAGGTTTTGGAGTTGGCGGGAAATGCGGCGAGGGACAACAAGAAGACGAGGATCGTCCCGAGGCACCTGCTTTTGGCGGTGAGGAACGACGAGGAGCTCGGGAAGCTGCTCGCCGGGGTCACCATCGCCCACGGCGGTGTTCTGCCGAACATTAACCCCGTGCTTTTGCCGAAGAAGACGGCGGCGAAGGAGGAGGGGGCTGCGAAGTCCCCCAAGAAAGCTGCCAAGTCACCAAAGAAGGCAGCCTAATGGATTTATACCGGCTAGGGTTTGGGTGTTTGGGATGTTTGGGCTACTGGTGTTGTTGTATTGTATGTAATTTTGTTGGGGGTTTTAAATGTCTTTTTTTTAATGAATCTCTGGCGATTTCAGTGGGATAGGATTTGTATCTTGCTTTTAATTTGAAGGAAACGTTATAAATCTTTCTCGTTTAGTGGGTAAGTGTTTTGTTGACTCGGTTTATTCGAGGTTAATTGCTGGAATTTTGATTTTCTTTTTTCTTTTTAATTAATCCCACCCCATTTGTTTCCAGATGGAGTTAGTGAAACGGTGGATCAAATGTAATGCTTGCCTCATTTTGGTAAGAATCTCCCGACAACGTTGAAGAAATTACTTCTGTAATTTTTTTGTATTTAGAGCTAGATTGCTTGATTGGCATTGAGCTGGTTTATTGCGCATTAGTTGGTTGTGATATGCTTTTAAGGTCCCTATTTGATATTATTTGTGTGTATTATACTTGAAAATTGACACCAAATCATCTGTGCGTATTATACGTTGAAGAAATTACTTCATTTGTGCGTATTTGTGGGCGGTTTGCCTTTGAAAATGGTCTGGATTCCATGACATGTAGATGTAAGAACTTTTCGATCATAGTGGGCATATTCCCATTTGGTAGAACTGTGTACTTTAAAGGGAATTCGACAAGGGCAAGGGTCAATCGTTTCTGTAGCAGAGGGGGATTGATTCTAGGGGCCTATCCTTTCTTGTTTCTCGACCTGAAATTTAGAAGTAACGTTGCTAGGGAAATACTTCTGTGTGGATGATGAAGTGATGTTTAGTTTCTGGTGCGCGCGCTCGTCTGTTTGAAGATTCAATTAGGGGGTGTTTGTTTCAACTCTCAAAATTTCAAGATATGGATTTCAACTTAGAATTTGAAATCCATAAATTTTTTGGTGGTTTTGGGATCTCTAAAATGTTGTTTGTTTCAACAAAGTTTTAGGATATGAAATACCAAAACTTAGGATGTTTTGTTTGTTTCAAACTTAAATTATAGCATTACAAATTTTAGAATTTGAAATCCCAAATTGTAGCAAACAAAATTTTTGATCACCAAAATAATGATTGGTGAATTTAAGAATTTCTGGTGAGCTTACCCCCCATAAAAAACAAATACTCTTGTATTTACTCTTCAAGCAAGCCCAGCAAGTCCAGCAACCCAGCAACAAATCAAAAGCAACAAACCCAGCAACCCAGCAACCCAACAACCCAACACACAGACCAGCAACAAACCCAGCAACCCAGCAACCCAACACACAGACCTCCTGCGGAGTTAATGCACAGACCTCCAGCAACAAATGCTCAAGCACAAGCCACCAAAAAAAAGCACAAGCCATCAAGATATGGTCAACAAGCAAACTGTATATGAGAGTCAAAAATTGAACACATGCCCCTTTAACAAAAAATTAAACAAAACCTGTATATGATACTGTGTACAAAAGTATGGTTGTGGCTCAAAATTAACCAAAACCTGTATCTGAGAATGTGTACAAAAGTATGGTTTGTTTCAGGCCCCAAAAGTCTTTCCCCAAATCAGAGTAGTTGAAACAAAATATACACTCAACGTTTGGATCCTCATAACTTGCTAGTATGGTTCAAGCTTTTCTGCATAAAGAAAAACAAAGGAATAAAGTACATAGAACAAATATTGCACATGAATGAGATTACCAATACATTTGAAGTAACCAAACCACAACTATCTAGGGAAAAGACTTACCTGTGTACAAAATTATGAATACCAAGGCTCATAGAATAATGATGTAGAAGAATAAAGAGCTAATGTAGCCAAATACTAAGGCAACAAACCCAGCAACCCATTGCACCAGGATGAAATCTCTTAATAGGACCTAGTTAGGGGCTCAGATATAGCTATTAAAATTGTATACATGGATTGCCTCAACTAACAATGGTGTTGCAATGTAGGTTGCAATCAAATGAATGGATTGCCTCACCGAACATTGTCGATGCAATATAGGTTGCAATCACATGAATGGATTGCCTTACCTAACATTGTAAATACAATGTAGGTTGCATTCTCATCCTAGATTGTCCTACCTAAACATAGCAACACATTGTAGATTGCATTCTCTTAACTAAGACCATCATCATTGCCCACTTAGAAGAATACAAAGTAGCCATACCAATACATATCGTGCAATGTAGGTTGCTATCAAGTATCATATCCAGTGATATTTATATAAACCTGCAAAAGAACCAAAGTTATAATGAGATTGCAATTAGAGTAGTGAAATTAGTTACATCATTAAGTTGTTAAACTTACAAAATTAATAACATAAAGCTACACCACTAAGTGTTAAACTTACAAAATTAGTTACATCATTAAGTAGTTAAACTTACAAAATTAATAACATAAAGCTACACCACTAAGTGTTCAACTTACAAAATTAGTTACATCATTAAGTAGTTAAATATACAATGAGTTTACAAAAGCAATAGATATGTCAAGTCTTCAAAAGTAGTGCAATATCAAGTTTTCATAAGTCAAACCCTTGCTCGTTGATAATCTTCTCTATAAATAGCTTTTGAGAATTTTTGGTTTTGATGATCAACCTCCTAGATTCTGATTCATGGTCATAACAAAAGATGAAACAATAGTATGGTTTGTTTCAGGCCCCAAATCAGTTTCAAACCCTCCAAGCAAGCCCACAACAAATAGCCAGCAATGAATACATGGATGATGAAATACCAAAACTTAGGATGTTTTGTTTGTTTCAAACTTAAATTATAGCATTACAAATCTTAGAATTTGAAATCCCAAATTGTAGCAAACAAAATTTTTGATCACCAAAATAATGATTGGTGAATTTAAGAATTTTTGGTGAGCTTACCCCCATAAAAAACAAATACTCTTGTATTTACTCTTCAAGCAAGCCCAGCAAGTCCAGCAACCCAGCAACAAATCAAAAGCAACAAACCCAGCAACCCAGCAACCCAGCAACCCAACACACAGACCAGCAACAAACCCAGCAACCCAGCAACCCAACACACAGACCAGCAACAAACCCAGCAACCCAGCAACCCAGCAACCCAGCAACCCAACACACAGACCAGCAACAAACCCAGCAACCCAGCAACCCAGCAACCCAGCAACCCAACACACAGACCAGCAACAAACCCAGCAACCCAGCAACCCAAACCATTGAATGGATGTATAAGCTTTCCCAAACCATTGAAACAAATACCCACTAAACCCAGCAACCCAAATCAAAGAATGATGTAGAAGAATAGCAGAGAAAATGTAGCCAAATCAACAGCTTCAAACCCAGCAACCCAGACCACCAGTATGAAAACTCATAATAGGATCAAGTAAGGGGCTCAGATATAGGTATTAAAATTGAATACATGGCTTGCCTCATCTATCAATGGTGTTGCAATGTAGGTTGCAATCAAATGAATGGATTGCCTCACCGAACATTGTCGATGCAATGTAGGTTGCAATCACATGAATGGATTGCCTTACCTAACATTGTAAATGCAATGTAGGTTGCATTCTCATCCTAGATTGCCCTACCTAAACATAGCAACACATTGTAGATTGCATTCTCTTAACTAAGACCATCATCATTGCCCACTTAGAAGAATACAAAGTAGCCATTGAAACAAATACACTTGTATTTACCCTTCAAGCAAGCCCACAACTCTATAAAATGAAACTGAAACTGAAAAATAAGCTGACTCAAAGTCTGCCAGCGACAACTCTATAAGATGAAACTGAAACTGAAAAATAATCTGACCCAAAGCGGAGTGATTATGAGTAGTTATATTATAATAATGATTACCTTGAAATAAGGATAATATAATGGGTTAGTGGCAATCTCTAGTGATACTTTATTTGGCGCTTGCTTCATGTACCGCCCCCTTAAACGACCAACGGCTTCCAAGCACTTGTTAAAGTATTTTGAAACGGTTTCCCCCGATCTTATGAAATGTGACCTAACAATTCTATTTTTTGTTTTATGGCCTAATATATTAAGGAACATGAGCAATTGTTCTTCTACTTTAACAACCCGTCCATCTTTTAGTAGGCCGGTATATCTCATTATGCTAACAAGATTATGAAATGCACGCGGCCTCATTCTAACATAAGCCCTACAACTCTCATTATAGCCACTAAACACACGACTTATGTGCCTAGCTCTCATATCTATCTTCTCTTTATTTTTCACCTTACGTTGATAAGTGATTGATTTCCGTCTACTACGTATCCTCATCAAACATGTAAACACACAAATCACCGCGGATATAGTAGCATTAGAAGCCATCCTCGTTAACATCTCTTCATCAATGTCGTCCATCTACATTGTATTAAAAAAACTCACAAAGTCACAAAATTGAAAAAAGCACAAAAACAATCTATATAGTATTGATCATTCATTGTTGATAATATTTGTTGCGAACTGAATCTTTTGGTGGAAAATAAAAACTGAAAAATTAGACATATATTTGTTGTTTGGAAAATGGAAAATGAAAACTGAAAAATTAGACAATTCTAAGTGATCAATACTATCCGCCCATTTGATATATTGATAATGCTTTCTCTGATTAAGAGGGAATCCAAAGCATGGCATGTTAGCTAATTAGACATATATTGTTGTTTGGATACTGACTTAAGCATTGTCATGACTGATACATCTCGAGCACATAATTAATTGTGCCAAATAACTAACTGATTTAATTGTGAATTAAGCACAGTCAGGACTGAAAATTAGATCCGAAAATTTCAGGCTAATAATTGTGCCAAATAAACTTGATCAAACTAAATCAATTGCATATGCCTTACCACATATTAATTTCAGCTAGAACACCCCAATAACAAAACCAAATCCATCAATTTTACAAAGAAACCCTAATTTATGGAGGAAGGCAACTAGTTTTACCTGCCGAGGAGGAGACACAGTTGGTCGGAGCAATGTTCGGGCAGACAGAAGTCCGATTGAAATAACCGAATCCCCAAACCAAGTTACCCCCAAAACCTCAAGATGAGTGGAGAAGAGGCAAGACGGCTTGCCTGGGAGTTGGGGACGCTGAGGAGGAGGCGGAGGGAATGAAGTTGGGGTGGAGAGGAGGGAGGGCGTGGCGTCGCAGTCGGGGTTCGGCGGGAACGAGAGCTAGGGTTTCGCGCGGAAATGGAGACGGCGGG